ACTGCTGGAGGAAATGCGGCAGGGGGGAAAGAGGGGGCCTGAGGGGAGGGTTGAAGGAGAGATGGTGGCGGGGCTGGGCGAGGTCTAGTGTACCATCGAGTGCTGGGGGAGGACAGACAGACAGCATATTGCAAGAAGCGGGAGGAGGTCTGACTATACGCTAACCCCTCAGATATGCTATTTTATTTATATCATTATAAGTAATTTCAAAACAATATTACTATGAGTAATATTGTGTCTACCAGAAGATTCCTCTGGTCATTATCTTTCATTAGAGCCTCATTGATGACTCTATGTTGAAGCACTGAGGAGTTCGAATCATTTGAAGTTTGTATATCAGGTGTTGTCCAAGTGTGCCATTTGGAGACGCCAAATGGAGACTTCGAATGGCACACTTGGACAACACCTGTACATCCTCATAAATAAACATGTCCAAAATGACATTTCTTTTTTGTGCTATTTTGATCAATCTTGAATCCATGAGCAGAATACTTTATTCAAGTAAAGTATTCTTGAATACTTTACTTGGACCCCATGGACCCCAACCATGGGTTGGGGTTCCCAACCCATGGACCGCACAAGAAATAATTAAATATTTCTGTTTTATGTATTGTTTGAGTCTGGAGGATCTTTTATTTTGAAAATCCTTTAACCGGATTCTCTCCGTTACTTGTGCGCCAACATTGAGCCCACAAGCAGCAAAATGAGTAAGAAACGGATCAGATGTCTTTGGAAAGTTTCTTGGCAAAGGGGAAAAGGCCCAGAGAAGAGACAGGAGGATGGATTTATCCGGGACCGGTAGGTGAGTCAAACATTACAAGCCGCTCTGTGTAACATGCGGCGACCGGCTGCTAATGAGGCAATGAAGCTTCAAACGGCTTCACCACGTAGAGACCAAGCAGGCTGTGGATATAAGCAACACTTCGGGTGTCATTGTCTTTCATCACTCCCAGATGGGACCGTCTCGTTGCAGAGAAACAAGCTCAGGGCTCCCGTTAGTCATTATCGTGAGTTAAAATTTTCACGAAAGTAAAATGCTCGTTTTTGTGGCGCATCTGTATCTTATTTTGAAGGGATATGTAAACGTTACCATAGCGACCAAAGTCAGAGAGAGTTTGGGCAGTGGTCGAGAGGAGATGAGTAGAGCTTGTGAGTCTTCAGTCTGGTATAGACGGCAAGATTTAAAGATTGTCGGCCGATTCTCCAAACCTCTGTGACCACAGAGCTGATAAAAGTCCAACAGGTTCGATCGGTTCGTGTTCAGCCACAAGGCAGGAGCAACACGAACCGATTCCAGTCACGAACATCCCGATTCCAGAGGATAATCCAGTAAAACCCCAACATAGCATACGGGAATTTAGAATAACCAAACACGGATGATGATGTAGAAGCAATAGTGACAGTTTGTGGACTCATTTTAAGAGATAAAAGACGTAACAAAAAGAAAAGGGGTGGATAAAAGACAGCGGGAGCAGCCGCTCTATTTGCTGCACTATGATTTAGAGGTGACTATGTTTTTTCATAGTTAACATTTTTAACTGAATAAACATAATAAACATATATAATAATGACCTTTATTTATAATAAACATTTCCACATATCATCTCCGATATCCACCAGACTCTCAATTGCGCGATATGTCAGCTGTTTGGGATTCCCCTCTGTTCTTACGTCACCGAGCTTTCTGATTGGCTACCTGTCACATGCAACAGGTTGTATTCTCGTCCCCAGTCAGAAAAAACCCCACAGGTTGCGATAAAAGGGCCAAGACAACCAACATTAGGCATATTCAGGCTTTAGCGGGAACACCAACATGCAGAAGCCTGATCTAACGGTTCCACCAACATTCCCCTCCGCCGCCGGGCCGCAACAAAATTTCCAAGTCTTGACCGTCCACGGTAATAAAAAGGTTGGGTACCTCTGCTTTTATTCTACAGATTTATGGTATTTCCCAGTCCATACATTACACACTCAATGTGTATTTACATGAATGGAAATGAAAAATCCGGGTGAAGCGAAATTTTTAAATTGTTTTTTTGTTACAAACTTAATAGCTACAAACAAAATTAGAAAATTTAGCTTGTCTTCTTCATAAAGAGACCAAGATTGTGCTTGTACTACAAAAATTACTCAAAAACAGCAGCTGATTTAATTTGGGTATAACTTTTCAGCCGTTTTTGGTGACTTTGGTCCTACCAGTTAAGGGTATAAAGCATTGAAAGACTGAATAATTCATTCTAAAACCCTTAAAAAGCAGTTGAACAATTGAGCTGCATTTTCCATTGTAATTTCCAGGGGTGAAGGTTAAGGGGTTTTCAGTACTAACTGAAAACAAGAAGTGCTGATTGTTCAGGAACTGGTGAAAACAATGTGAGCTTTTCATGAGGAAACATAAGTATTTGCTCCCGAGTTTTGTTGTAACTGATGACTAACAGAGAAGTTGGTCATAGTTTGGAATCTGTAGGTTTTGTCTCAATACCAAGTACATACACAAACAGCACTAGAAAAATGGATAATTCAGACAATGTTTTACAAATGGTTTATGAATGTATTTTTATCAAAATAAAACCAAAGGAAATGATGGTGTGATAAGTTACGTTGTGCAATTAAATATCTTACCAGTCACAGCTGTCAGTTGCTCTACATTGATTCTCACATTTTCAAACACAGTGAAGAGAGTGAATGTGTATCTGGTTCCAGCAGTGAGAGATGAGACTGTGTAGTTCACTGGTCCATCTCCATCTGG